AATTGTGTTTGAAGAGTGGTGTGGACCTAATATTGTAGTGTTGTCTCTCCACCTTCAGAACTAGGGTATATACATCGAGTAAGGATTGGTTCGGATGCAGTTGCACCACATTATTAATAGATCCTCAATCCTTTAAGATATCTTATTATTGTACTCTCTTCTGGTTCAACAACTCACATTTCAATATGATTTGATCAAATTCAGCTGTGTACTTCACCGGAGAATCTCTCCAGTGCAGGTGATGACATTTTTGGAACATATTATGTCGGTAATTTGGGGAAAGATATTTACAGTGCATCTCTCTCTTCATTTTAAATCAGATGGTGATCTTACTCTAGGTTCTCCTATCATAATGAAGCATTATTCGACTGATTTGACCCTTCTGTCTGGTGAAACATGTTTATATTCAATGACTCGTTTCACTGTTTGAAGCCACTCGATGAACTCTTTTGAATTCATGTGACCATCAAAATCTGGAAAGTCAATCTTCACTCCAAAATCATGGTTTCTCCTTTGATATATCATGCCAAATCGTCAGGGTATTGATTCTTCGTTACTTGAATTTTTTTGGTGGAAGAGATTCGCTTCTCACAATTTGATGAGTCACTATTGTGGCCATGAGTGGCCACCGAATTATCTCTCTCAAAAGATACAAGTCTCTGTTACAGTTGGAGGATTTTTTTTGTTATATATTCTCCACAGTAAATTTCCAGACACATCGTTTAGAGTTTTTTCTTGGCAGCTTGACGTTATTTTCTCCTGATCAGGTTTTTGACGGATGTTTGATTGCAAATAAAGGTTGATCGAGGGTTTAGGTGTCGGGCTGGAATTTTGGTAAATATTTGATTTTGAAAACTAGGGTTGAGTCTTGGAATTGTAGTAGGAATGATTTGGGTATCATGTGAATTTTTTTTTTTGAAATTTTAGATTTGGACAAAAAAGATAAGCTTAAAAATTCTAGGACTTGCCAAGCTTTGATACTAGATGATATTATTCTAGGACTCCTAGAAAGTGTTTAGAAAGGGACTTTGGAGGGGAGGTGGTTGTGAGAGAACAAGTAAGTGAAAATATGGGGAATCAATGACGTTTGGAATGTGATATGAGGTGAAATCTATTGTTGGACAATAAATCGACATAATCGGTTGTTTTTTGTACTGAAATCAACAGTTGAACTTCATGAGATACAAGCGGCGAGGATGATCCACCACTTTTTACTTTCACAAGTGGTGTATCCTATCTTGCTCAGAAATAGGTGGTGGATCCTCCTTACTGCCCATATCTCAACTTTTTGATTGGTTCTTGGTCTTTTATTATCCATGCAACTTCCATTGTACTTAATTAAGGTTTATTTGAGATGTAATGCACGTATGAACGTAATATATGATCACCATCACATTGATCGATATAGTTTATGAAATCACTCATCTTAATAAATAATATCAATTTATTAATAATCTTTACAAATTATCATATAATCTTGGAACCAAGAATTGACTCAATGTTGACCCAAATGTGAAAATTATTAAGTATATATTATAAAGATGTATAAATGGACTTTATTTTCATATTTATTACAAATGTTATTGCTTTTTTGTTTTTTTTTAGTTGTTTTGGGAGTGGGTGGTTCTTATTTACATACATACCATCCAATCTTATGTATTTACATATCTAACACCTAAACTTTGTTTTTGCATTTATACCACCCAAATCATACATATCAAATAAAAAAACACCACCTGTTAACTTATAAAATATGAAATTCGGCTTTTCATACATATATAAGGTGTTATATGTTGAGATTTAGAATAGACCAGCATGATTTTATTGATAGGAGGAAAGGCGTTTAAAGTCAATTATAATAGGCATAATAAAGGAAAGAAAGAAAACCAGAATAAAACTATGAAAGAAAATAAAACAGAATACAACAAAACAAGGAATACATAATCAGAAAATAAGAGCAAATAATAAGTAATAGCGGTATAGGGATAGCCTTTATGATTTAATACTCTCTCTCGAGTCGAAGCATAGATGTCATTCATGCTCAACTTGAAATTGAAGTCATCAAATAAAGAGCGAGGGAAATTTTTGGTGAGGATGTCTGCTAGTTGACCACTAGAAGACACATATGGAATGCAAATCTCCGTAGACTCAATCTTTTATTTGATGAAGTGTTGTCGATCTCCACATGTTTGGTACGATCATGCTGGACAGGATTGTGAGCAATGTTGATTGCAACCTTATTATCACAGAATAGCTGCAGCGGGGCGGAAGTTGGTATACGAAGTTCGTGGAGCATGATGCGTAGCAGAGAGCTTTATAAATTCCTAAGGACAGAGATCGGAATTCAGCTTCAACACTGCTTCAGACAACCACCGACTGTTTGTTATTTTTCCATGTAACAAGATTGCCCCATCCAAATGAGCAATACCTGAAGTGGAACACCAATCATGAACTGATCCGACCTTATCATCATCAGTATAAACAACAATAAACTGAGAGGTGTGACGGGAAAAAAAACAAAGCTGAGCTCGGTATACCTTTTAAGTAGTGGAGAATCCGGTGGATAGCTTGGGCGTGGTGCTCGTAGGGGTCTTGCATAAATCGACTTATTATTTCAACTGCGCGGCATATGTCAGGGCGAGTATGAGTGAGGTAGATGACTTTTCCCACAAGACTCTGGTAATGAGCCTTGTGAACTGACACAACATTAGGAATGTCAGATAACTTTTCATTAGGATTCATAGGAATAACAATAGGTTTGCACCAAAGAAGGTTGTTCTCTATCAAGAGATCAATCACATATTTGAGCTGAGACAGGTAAATTCCCCGAGAGGACTGAACCACTTCCATGCCTACGAAGTACCGGAGATGTCCCAAGTCTTTCATCTCGAAGGATGAAGCATGAATGTCTTTAAGGACTTCAATGCTTCGAGATCGTTGTGTGTAAGAATAATATCTTCAATATAGGCAATAAGTATAGCCACCTGGCCACTGGAGGAATGTCAGAAGAAGAGGGTTTGATTTGATTGAGCCTAAGTAAAACCTTGACCCATGACCACATTTGTTAACTTGTCGAGTCCTGCCCTTGGGGACTGTATTAGCCTATAGGACTTTCTTAGCCTGCACACTTGTCCTCTGGAGGTAATATAATCAAAACCTGGAGGGAGAGACATATACACTTCTTTTGCAGCTCTCCATTCAAGAATACATTCTTGACATCTAGTTGAAATAACGATCAATTCAGATTAACCGCAAGTGACAACAAGACCCGAATAGTATTTAACTTAGCCAGTGGAATAAATGTCTATTCATAGTCAACTCCGTAGTTTGTGAGTATCATTTGCGACCAATCTTGTCTTGTTGTGTTCAAAGAGTTGAACTTGATGCTGAAAATCCATTGACACTACAACTTTCTTACCCCAAAAAAGTCTATGACATACCACATATAGTTCCACTGAAAGATACTCATCTCCTCCATTACTTTCGTTTTCTAGGTTGGATCAACAAGGGCAACCTCAATAGTAGTCTGTCAGGGCAGTAGCAAATGCTCTTTAGATCAGCGATAAATTGTGAAAAGAGACATTTTGTCATAGAATAGAGGGATTGCGTAGCTTTCTCGAAGAGCTCACCTCCTTATTCTGTTGAGGGATTGTATTGAGGCTGCCGCTCGGAGTAGAGTCAAGGTCTTGTAAGGAGGTAGTGGACTCCAGATTAGGAGCATTGGAACGGGTGTGTCGAGTGTAGACACGATGGTGGGAGGAGATGGTGCACTCAATAGAACAGAGGACTCCTCAGAGTTAGGAACAATGGGGGGACCATTCATAGGAGTAGAATAATGAATAGTGTCGGGGAACTCAAGCTTCCCTTCACTAGAAGCCGAGCTAGAAAATAGGGAACACTTTCAAAGGAGGAGACATCAGTACTCACATAGATTTTGTTTGTGGTTTGCATGGGAGCGGGGAGTGGAGGCGATCCTCCGGCGGAGTCAAAAACACCTTATAAGAGTGATTCATTGAAAGAATCAGCCATAATTCTTATTGAGCCAAAAGATATGTTGTGGTTCTGAGCCATTGATGAATTTTGGTAGAATCACGACAAAAAAATACAACTGCAAGAATTGCAGGTAGCATGACAACTGCAGAACCGCGACAGCAGGAACAGAGGAGATGCAGGACGACTGCAAAAATCCTTCCTACAGAACCGTGACAGCAAGAGCAGAGAAGATTAGCGGTAAGTTTAGGCAGACCGGCAATAGCACGCTGTGACAGAGGAGTCTGGCTGTTTAAACTTACAGGGAGGCTTGTGGTTGTGTTGCACCACGAGATCTTGCGAACAGGAGGACTCTGCAGTTTGTTGGAACCGACAGGGGAGGCTGCTGGCTAGGAGGAGGCGGTTGTTGGAACCGACAGAGTAGGAGACTGTTGGAACCGACAGAGGAGGTGGCCGTTGGAACCCGCAGAGGGGTCCAAGGGTTGTTGGATCTAGGATTAGACTCTGATACCATGTTGAAATTTGGAATAGACCATCAAGATTTTATTGATAGGAGAAGGGGTATTTAAACCCAATTATAATAGAAATAATAAAGGAAAGAAATAAAACCAGATTAAAACCACTAAGAAAGAAAATAAAACAGAATTAAGCAAAATAGGAAATACATAATCAGGGAAATAGATCAATTAATAAGTAATAATGACATAGGAATAACAATTATAATCTAATAGTAATCTAATAGTATTTTTGTAAAAATTAAAGTTTAGTTAGTAGATGAATAAGAATGGAGTGCATATGTATACAAATCTTTCTTCTCTTCTTTTTTTTTTTTAACTTTTATCATGATTTCACCAAGTTGAGCATTTCGAAAACATCTTTCTGAATAGGCTGATATGTCTCAGGCCAGAGCTGCCCATTGATGAGGCCTAGCATGAATAATTCTTCCTCTACTGTTTAAATCTCAGAATTTCTACTATTTTGCAGTGATTAACAATGTTTAGTTTCTTCAGGGGTTGCTGCAGAAGGAGCGGGGCCTGTTGCTGAAGCAGAAGCACTTGCACTTCAAAGTCTCAGTAGGTATTATGCCTTCTCCACAGTCTACCTGTAATAAAAAAAATGGGATATATTAACCATCAAGGCTCTAACAGTCATGTTCGTGCTGTTGTCGCCACACTTGGTGGCCACCATGGAGCTGCTTCATGGCATGATAAGTGGCGGCACCTCCACGCCGGATTCACTGTTTGGCTGTCGAAATCCATAGCTGCAGGCAAAGAATCTCTTCTGCTTATTTCCCAATTTTACAATATGAAGATTTTAAAAAGATTTACATACATGCCACTCTGCCTATATATTTACATATCTAACCCCTAAACTTTAACTTTTGCATACAGGCTATCTTACCTATGCATGAAAATCTGTATTTCACTATTTAGAAGCTAGAACAGTTGTATTTTTTATGTGATATGAACAATTTGAATGGTATAAATGTAAAAAAGCAAAATTTAGCCGTTACTGTGTAAATACATTAGAATTGGGTGGTATGTATGTAAATGCCCCATGATTTTATTGCTGTAATGCTGCAGATGAGGTAAGTGCAAGAGAGGAGGCCAAAAGAAACATGGAAGATGGATGTCTTGCTTACACCAACGCTGATGTAGTCGTGAAACTTGTTGGATGGGAGAAGAATCGCGCACAAGAGGTTGCTTTAGCTTGTTTGAGAGCACTCAAACAACTGATACTGTCTGATAAGCAGATTACAGGTGATTTCTGGCATTCTTTTAATGCACTTCTCAAACTGGACTTAGTTTAATTTCATGCAGATAAGAATATGGTGATTCATTCAAATCTGTAAACTTTATTCTTGCTTTCTTAATTTTCTTGATCTCTGCAGCATTTTCTGAAGCAATGTAAGATTTGGAACTTCTGAAGCTTTTTAATTTTAATAAAATGACTGAATGTGATAAGAAACCACTTATTATAGGAAAGATCATATATAAAATTTATATATTTTTTTAAATTTTAATATAGTTTAGGTGCATTTTAAATTAATATGCCTTTTTAAACAAGCCAGCTTTTTTAATTTTAAAACAAATCGGTTTGGCTCAGTTTCACTCACCTCTACTCTGAACTCTTTTCATGTTTTGATGACAGGGAAGAAGAGTCTGTACATCAGGTTAGGATGCCGTGGAGATTGGCCCAATATCAAACCTCCCGGTTGGGACCCATCCAGTGGGCATTGAAATGTAAGCACTGCTTTTAATCTTTGTAAATTTTGAACATAAATTGATGATAATCTCTTTGATTGTAATTTTTTCCTTGTTTTTTCAATGCAAACCTGTAAAATACCTCTTCACGTGGTCATGATATAGACTTTTTTATATTTATCATCATATTTAGACTTTTTTATTTTATTTAGGGGATTTTGCATGCATTCCACACAACTTTTATGAATTTATATAAATAACACCTAAACATTTATATTTATATGCATGCAATTCAAATCTTTTAACATCACATCAAAGATAATCACCACTATTATCTTTTTAAAAATGAAATGCTCGGTTTCATGCATAAATTTATGACACCAAGGTGTTATTATTGTTAGTATCAAACTTTGGTTGTTAGATATGTAAATGCATAAGAATAATGTGGTATGTATGTAAATTTCACATTTTTATAAGGTAGTGTAAATTAAGGTGCATCTTTGCTAAGCCCAGCGATATAAATTCATTGTGGAATAAGCCGCCCGGCCACTGAGACCTGGTGTGCTTAAATTGGCTAAAGTTTGAAAAAGAATAGAGATTGATCATCGTGTTGCCTGGACAATTAGAGTTGATGTGTGACTGAGATCAATTAAGCCAACCCTTTTCCTAAATATGGGGTAGATTGGAGATCCAAAGATAATACGAGGAGTCGATTCAGACTTCTGAATGGAGAGGGGCTGGATTGTTGAACTGAAGTTGATGAATGATTGGAGGCACCCAAGCAAGCCTTTTCTAGATAGAGGTTGGCTGAGCAATTGTAATATGCAAGCTTCTGAAGGCTCTATAAACACCAATGGGAATTGTTATAAAATCGATGTAATAAATAATAAATTAAACAAAAGAAAGAACATGTAGAATTTACATGAAAGTTTTAAGAGGGGAAATTCATGGGTAGGGGAGGAAAACTCATTACGTCAAATAATAAATTACAAGTGAAGAGCTTCGGCTAACATAAAAGTAAAGGGAAAATGAGTTGTTTTGTATAGGCAAAAAGAGGTATTTATATACTTTTGTAAGATCACTTTTAAAAAAAAATAATTGAGAGGGAGCTAATAAATTAAAAAGATATGGATTGTAATTTTAATATTATTATAAAATTAATCAAATGGAGAAGATTTTTAATTCTTGTGCTTAAAATTTTTATGTAACAATTTAATATATGTGCTCATATTTTCTTTTAAGAGTAGGGCTCACAAAATATAAGTTATAAATTTAGCAATCTTCACTTTGACATGAATTCCCAAAATAAATGTTAAATAGATACTTATTCTTTGACAGAACATAACCACATCCTCCTCGAAGCACTAATGATCAGGAATGAATACTGAGTCAAACAATAGGAGTTCATTGATCATCATATCCACATGACTATTATTTATACCATCTTCATAATAATATCACCACGAGTTATAAATTCACGAATAAAGTAGTAACGAATATTAATGTGCTTAGTTCTCTCATGAACTTTTCTAAAGATAAATAACGCTCTGATTATCTCACATTATTGTGGTAATCTTTAAATATTCACAAATCTCTTCAAATGTCTTTCAATCAAAGAGCTTCTTTGTAAGCTTCAGTGATTTTCATATACTCAGCATTAGTTGTAGATAGTGCATGAGTTGTCTGTAAAGTGGCATTCCAACTAATTGCACGACCATCAACAATAAATATATATCATGTAAGTGATCTCTTTCTAACAAGGTTTCCAGCAAAATTTGAATAAACATAGCCAATGGCTCTATCTTTAAATCTCTTAAACTGCAAACAAACATCTTTTAGTCTACATAGATGCATGAGGATCTACTGAACTGTTTTCCAATGCTCCTTACCCGGATTACTCATGCATCTATTGACTGCATTAATTACATGTGATAATTCTGAATGAGAACATATGATAGCATACATGAGAGATCGCACCGCACAAAAATATGAAACTCAAGGCATATAGTTAATCTCATCATCTGCTTGTGAACACAGTTGATGAGAGTAAAAAATGCGCAGCTAATAAAGTATTAATAGACTTGACATTCTGCATATTGAGCCTACGTAAAACTTTTTCAATATACTATTTCTGACTCAGAAATAACTTATCTTTCTTTTTTATCTCTCTGAATCCTGATATCATACTTTTTTTGTTGCTCTCAAATTTTTTATTTCAAACTCACTATTAAGTTGAGCTTTTAACTACTTGATAGTTTATTTATTCTTAGCAATTACCAACATATTATTAACATATAAAAACTTATAGATAAATGATCATCAATCTTTTTGAAGTAAACATAAGTATCATAATTGATCCTCTTAAATTCATAAGCAATCATGAATTGTCAAATTTCTTAAACTATTGCTTTACGTAAGTGACTATTTTAAATTGTAAATAGATTTCTTGAACTAGCAAACATAATATTCTTTTCTTAAAAAAACAAAGCCCTCAAGCTCCTATATATAAATGTTCTTCTCAAGCTCTCCATGTAAAAATGTAATCTTTATATCTAACTAGTCAAGTTCAAGGTCATGCTTAGCCACAATGTCTAATAAAACTTGAATTTGAACTATGTTTAACCACTGAAGATAATAAACTTGCTATGTCTACTCATGAAATTTGACTGAATGTTTTTTTTCTAACCTTAATACCTGGCATTTTCAATTCCTGGTGTACATTCTTTTCTCTTAAACATTAATTTGCGACAAACAACTTTCTTGTTTTGATCCAATTTTACTAAATCTCAAGTCCTATTTCTGTGCAAGGATTTAATCTCTTCTTGTATTGCGATCATCAACTTATAATAATCAATTGAGTTAACTGTCTCTATATAGCTAGAAAGTTCTTCATCACCTTGATACCTTTAAAGCATAAACAATCAAATCAGCCTCACAACACCTCTTAGGCAGCTTAATTTCTCTTGTTATTGTATTCGTGGCAATAGAATATTATGATGGTTGTTATTGTGGTGATGGAAAAATTATATCATTTTGGCTCTAAATTTAATTCTTTAATTTTTTATCATAATTTTTCACTCTTTAAAAGTAATAAATATATTACTCTTGTGCTTCAGGAAGAAAACTTTAACCTTTCTAGGGAAATCATTAATGAACGCACATATTTGACACCACTCTCAGATGGGACTGTGGATGGATCAGAATGTATGTAAGTCTAATATTCTCTTGGTATTGTGAATTTCAATATTGAACTTAATTCTATTCTATTTTCCAAATATAGTGCTCATAAAACTTTATTTTAGTATTGCTCTGACTATTTAGAAATTATCTTTTGCTCAATTCAAATATCACATTCTCACTCATATGCATATGAAGATGAGATTGAGATCAAACTTTCAATATTTATGTTGCTTCTCCAACATTCATGATAAGGGCATCTTTTTAAACCAAAATAACGCACCCTCTAGATCTATCTATCTAAAGACGTCTCACATCTTAACATGTCAAAGTGAAAATATAATGTTGTGATCTAAAAGGCGGATGTATTTTACTATTGTCATTGTTGTGATAAAAGTCTTGCCTCTGACTCAACTTCTTATAAAATCGACGCAATAAATAATAAAATAAATAAATAAAAACACATTTTATTTGGAAAATACAGGATGGGAACAATCACAAACATATGAGGAGAATTCACCATGTCAATAATAAATTATAAGAGAGCTTCGACTAAACATAAAACCAAAGTAGGAGAAAAATGAGTTGACTTGTACAAGCAAAAGTAGGCATTTATAAAATTTTTGTAAGATCCTTTTAAATAAAAATGGGGAACCAACAAAGTAAGAGCACACCAATTGTAATATAAAAGCTATTATAATATTTAGTCAAGCAAAAGAGGCTGTCAATCCATGTGCTTACAATTTTCCTTACAAGGCTTCAATTTGTTTCCACACATTTTTCTTATAAGATAACCATGACCCATAGAATTTAGGTCACAAATTTGATAGGCATTTGTAGCACAAAACAATTCTTATGTATTTACATATCTAAAACCTAAACATTCATATTTACATGAATACCAGTCAAATTTTTAACATCATATCAATAATAGTACAATCAATATCTTTTAAAAGTGAAACACATTTTCACATATTAAATTTATGACACCAATATATTATAAGTATAAATATCAAACTTTGAGTGCTAGATATGTAAATACATAAAATTTGTGATTATGTATGTCAATTTCACAAACAACAAATACAAAATACTTGAGTTTAGGAGATTATTATAGATGTAGAATCGAACGACACCGTTATGAAGATTAAGAGCACGAACATGGAGAAGCTAAGAATATCATGGTAGAGAATTAAGAAGCAATAAGACAATGAATAGAGACATTTTTTAAAAAAATAAAGAAGAAAAAAATTGAATGGAGAACATTATAGTTATGAAAGTGAGATCATTAGCCAAAAGCATCATTATGAAAGAAGGGGATGGATTGGATGTTCAAATTTGATTGGCAAATGGCAACAACAATGATTGTACCAAATTACATCCATCCCTAATTAAAAAATGGTTGGGTTGATGTTGACCTTGGGATGACCAAATTAAACTATTTAAGATAGGGCAATGTTAAGCAATTGAATGATGATAGGATGATGATAACCACTACTCTCATCAAAGAACATAGTATACTATTTCACAGCTCTCAGTTTTAATTGAGCATCACTGATGGCTCACAAATCAAATGCCTGCACAAGCCACAATAGTCTCATCTATGCATAAAAATGTTCCCTTCTTTTATCGATTCACTCTAGCCACAATTTTGAAAGATGAAGCTGATATGCACCATTGAACATATGAGGCCCTCAAAAGCTTATTAATGAAGAAAGGATAACATATTTGAATCCTTGGTTGATGGTGTATGCTTTTTGAATTCACTAAAAAATGCTAATTTCACATTTTGTTGAATAGAATTTACCAAAGTGAATGGTGGTAACCTATTCCAATTCAATTTTTCCAACATCTTATAAGAAAAATGAAATAAATTAAAGTTTCAAGTTGACTAAAGTTACTTCCCAACTTCTAAAATTATTTGATAAAATTGTTTATTTAAATTATAAATCCAGATCAATTTTTAGCCAAATCATAATCATTATTAAGTACACAATTAGACCCAACAAGATTAAATTCAGACAATCACTTGAAAGGGTTCTAGTCCTAAACCAACCACAACCTAGAGCAGCTCATTAATTTGTTTCAATCTTAATGAGCCTTGATTGTCCAACTATGACCAAGGTATCAAGAATAAAAAAGGAGGAATTTACATAACACCAATTCTCATGTATTTATCTATCAGCACCTAAGCAAACCACTCAAATCTTTAACATCACATAAAAAATATCACATGTTTTTTTTTAAAGCAAAATATACCTTCTAATACAATAGGTTTATGACACCAAAATGTTATAAGTCAAAGGATACAATACTCCAATAGAAAAAAAAGGGAGAAAAAAATCTCCAAATAATACAACAAAGAAGAAAGTCTTTGAACAAAAAATAACAAAATATAAATAATTCCCTCTCAAAATAACCCTAATTTCAATTCAAAAAATAATAATAATAAAGATAGAGCTCACGAGGCCTGCCTACCCAATAGATTCCAAATTGAAAGTCTTCAAGCGAAAAAAAAAATTCTTCTATGAGGGAGAATTACAGGATGGAGCCTATTGTGTCTTATTGCGCAATCACAGATATTGTATTACACGTTATTGCGAGAGCTTCCGCGTCACTCTTTGAGTAATCTTCTTCTTCGAAGGCATTTAGAATCAACAAAACAATTATCTTGTTGTGTCCAAGAAAAGTCAACTACAAAATCCATGCTAATATCTACAATAGGTAACTATGAAACACGTTCAATCGTGTTTGGCTCCTTTTAGCTCAAAATAAAGAAATTATATTTATTATTTATTTAATAATATTATATATATCTATATATAACTAAGTTTAAATCATCACAACTTGTGTGATCATGTGGTTTTGCACTTTTTATTGCATATAAATGGTGCATGTCTGACTGCAACACCCTACATCTCTTTTTTATTTAATTTAAACAAACAAATTTCAAGTCGAACACAAACACACTCTTCATGAGTAATTTTGAACAGAATTAATTTTACACAAGCCGAACATGAGCCAAGCCTGAGCTCACTAGAGCTTGGCTCGTTTATAACCCTATGTATGTCATTCTAAATACTATTATGCTAAAATAAATAACCATCATATTTTTGGCATAATTAGAATTGAAACTACATATGGCCTAGTACTTTCACAGACCTATCCTCTAGCCATCAAGTTTGTATCTTGTTTCTGCAATGTCTTAAATTGGTTGACCGCATCCTGTAGTCGACCAGTTATGGGGCACGAATCCTAGGATAAGATTTATAACACACTAAATTTTTCATAAGGGTGGCAATCCAAGTAGTAGACTGCTTGTTAGAACAACTTGAAATTCCTCTAATAAGAGTCATACTGCCCCAAATAATGGCTCTTCCATTTAGTGTCTTCCAACATCACCAAGGCTAGTTCCACTGACACCTCTCTCATAGCCTGTAGAAATGTGACACGGGGAACTAAAGGTCATCATCATCTGAGTATCTATCACTACGGACCCCCTCAATGGAATAAGTAAACTATACTTCTTGTTCTTCTAAATATGTATTTGTTTACCTGTCATACTATCACAATCAGTCCAAAATAATGGGCACACATCCATAGGCACGACATCACATTAAACATAATCCTGCATCTTCTCTTCAATTGAAAATTTTAGTAAATATTTATTAATACACTTCTTATTCTTCTTCTTCAATCAAATCAAGGAATATTATTGAGATTGCTTAGTAAGCCTCAGCTTATCCACCATATGTTTAGATATCACATTTTTACATTTGTCTTCATCTATAATGAAATTGCACACCTTATAGTGCAATGGGTAAAAAGATGTCATGGAGCCAATGTTGCTTTCATAGGCTCAAGTTGAAGGATCTGTCGAATCACTAGCATCTCTTTCTCTTGTCAAATGGAAGCTGCTGCTCCTCTCTGATATCCTCATTTTCTCCAGTGTTACTGCCCATTTCTTCAAATGCTTCTTGTTTAATAAAAGATATCACCTTGTTCAACTTGTCAATTATATGTGTAGATATCATATTTTTACAATTGTCTCCATCTATAATAATCCCTTAACACTGCAACGGGTAAAAAAGATGTTGGGAAGCTATTGTTGCATTCATGGGCTCAGCCTGAAAGATCCATTGAATCACCAATATCTCCCTCATTTGTTGGAAACTACTACTTCTCTCTGGCATCCTCATTTTCTCTTATGTTGCTGTTCATTTCTTCATTGCTCCATGTTCAATGAAAGGGATCACTTTTCTATATGGCCAATCAGAAGAAATGTGTCTAAGCTCAAGATAAATTCAAGCTGCTTGGGAAAAGGATTTTTTTATTGTGTTTAAATATCTCATTTCAAGCTAGTGCAAGCATATTCTAAGTTGTAAAAGAGGTGAGCTTCATTTCTATATTTATACGACAATGGTAAAAGAGTTTTTCAAAATCTTATTTATTTGCATAACTAACCCTTAAATTTATACTTTTTTTATAATTATACAACCTAAATAATCTTAAAAATAATAAAATTTAGTATTTTTTAAAAAATATTAAAATTAATATAAAGAAGATATAAATAAATATTATTATTTAATTATTTAATTATTTCAATCCAAAACAACCGGAACACAAATGTAAAAGCTTTTGTTTGTGTTCTTATTTATAAATCGAGCTAAAAAAAATTATTTGTGATTTACTCGCTTGCTTAAAAAAAATCAAACACGAGCTATTTATAGAGTAAATCATGAGCTATTCACGAACGAGTTTTTTTTACAATCCTAGTTGCACTACATCTCCTTCATCTCATTTTAAGATCATACGGTTATTTTACTATTCTTTCCACAATAAAAGTTGTTTCAGGTTCTCCAACCATAAGTATTCTTCACGAGCTTGATGGTTATCAATTTAATTTTTGTGTCCTAAGAAATGTGACTACTTGAATTAGTGTCACCAATTGAAACCACTTAACGAATTCATTTCGGAGCCAAACGTTCGTCAAAATCTGACAAGTCAACACTAAAATATTAACTTCTTCGATATTTCATATTAAAATACAACGTATCAATTAATCACTGAAAACTTATTAATTGTTAAGATTCATTCTCTTCACGATTTGATAAGTCACCATTATGAATATCATTGACCTCTAGGTTGTCTTGCAATTAGAGGATCTTCCTTTGAATGCCTTCCTTCATAAGCTCTTATAAACCTCTTCGCATGTTTCTCCAAGACAATATTTGGTTACTTTTTTCTCGATCAAGGTTTGAGCCTATTTGGAGCAGCTCAAATTATTAAAAAGCAATGATGGAACTGCTGAAAAAATAATCTGACGTTTAAAAAACTCCGCTAACCATTACAATTTCTTTTTTTAAAGTCAAACCACAACTAGAAAAGATGTCACCTCAGCTAATCAGGACCGGTGTAAAAATATAAATTTCAAATACAATTTTTTTAAAAAACTACCAAAACACAATTTATCCAAACAAACAAAATTATGATACTATATCACACAATCACCGCACCGCCGCCCCCAAATGAACCCTTGATCAAGTGGATTACCACCGGATCATGGTCGTAAGACGGGCTAATTTTTTGTTGAGGTTGGAGGTTTCTCTTTTAAACATTTAGGTTTAGAACTAAACGATGAAGTTGAGAACTATTCTGTGCAGGTATTAGATTAGATTACGTAAATGTCGATTTAGGAGCAAGACAAATCCCTAAGATAACTAAAAAAAAATTATTCCATAGCCTCGAAATGTAGGAGAACGCAAAAGGATTATTAAAGTTGTAGGATGGGCAGCGAGAGCGAAAAGAAGCAAAAATCCAGCAATGAGCTACACCTACACATCGAGCTGGCAGCCAAAAACAACAAATTTCCCACCATCCAGCAAATAATAGCAAGTTCGAACAATAAGCCTTCAAACATTCAGACTTCCCATGATGCTATCACCTTAACCAAATCAAGCTATATACACACCATCTGTAAAAAGGTAGAATAATACAACACTCCAAAAGAGAAAACAATGAGAAAATTCTTCATTTAACACAAATAAATGCATCTAAAACAAAAATAATAAAATACATAATAAAATATAAATAATTCCCTTTCAAAATAACCCAAATTCTTAACTTTAAAAAAAAAAAATTAAGAAAGGGCCCACAATGCTTTGCCCGCCGGATGGATTGTGAATGATGAGACACAGCCCGGCCCTGCCTTGTCTTGCAATCGCAAATTACTGCATTCCGCAGCATTTATTTGAAGCCAATTCACACTGCTACCACTACCATACGCAAGACATACTAATGTTGTCACTTCGGCTGGATTTCTCCAAACCGCGACAAATATCTTATAATCCAAAAGTTTAGACAACATGCGAATGTATTAAGGCAGGAGATGAAAAGGCAAATAGCAAACCACACCAACACTGCCTGCCATTAAGCAGCATTATCAAAAGTAAATCACAAAAGACAGGTCAGACAAGAATTCAAGAGTCAAACATTGCGTCAAAGGCGTGTATGTATGTATGTATTCATTTCGACAGATCCCAGAAATTCTAACTATGGTTAATCCACACCCTAAAATTTGCACACAACTACAACTTTCACTCACTCAGGCTTCGTTTGAAGCTTCTTGCTGCCTGGCAAAGACAGTTCCTGCGTCTCCATGGAAGGAAGCTGCAAAAAAACAGAATGGATTTTGTGAATTCAATTCCAGTATGTAATCAAATAAACAAAAAATATCTTGATTAAGATGCCATAAGGGATCAATTCACGTTTTACTATTTATTTATTTAATTTTTTTAATATATTTCAATTCGAACAAAAAAAAAATATTTATAAGTTAAAAAATAATTAATTATTTTTAAAAAACACTCGAAACATCTCAAATTTATTTTAAGTATATTTTAAAATATGCTAATTTAAGTTAAAAAGGAAACTAAAAACATGAAAGAAGAAACACACAGTATTTGGAATCGCTGTAGGTTTTGTTTTTTTATATTTATTCTATTTTGTTTGTGCTTTTGATCTTAATTAAAATATGTTTGTTCCGAATTTCAAAATAATGTTTAAATATTTTGAATATTTTATAAACAAGTTGATTGAAAAAAAAAAGTAAATTGATTTGATTTTAAAAACAAGAAATAAAAAACATGTTTCCAAAAACAAAAATGAAAAATAAATAGAAATTAGAAATGATGCCTAACGGGCCCTAAGAAAATATGTTTTTAAAAAGAAAAACAAAAACAAAATTGATCCCTAATAAGCCCTAAATTATTCAACATGCAAAATGGTTGAATGATAAGTCGTCAAAATATGATGACGAGTAACATAACCCCAAGGACATAATCTAAATTACAGGGATTAGTTGAAGGCCACTATATGTTTCCACGGTCAACCCATATGAACAAAGAACAACCATGCACATATGGGTTATATAAATAGCCAAAGTGCTCAAGTGTTACCTACGATGAGGAATGGTAATAACAAACCAAGGCATCATCCACATATTTTTTTTGTTGGGCCACTGACACGATTCTGCCGTGCACCTAGTGAGAAATAAAATATTATAATTCTTAAATATGTTTTATGAAGTTTATAGTTTGAAATTTTTCCACAATTTCACACTAAGATTTTATTTACACAAGTGCACATATCGTTCAAGTAATATGTGATTTCTTAAAAAACTTTGAATATCAAAACCACGAGAAAAATCAGGTTAACCACCGAGACCTAAGAAAAGTTCTAAACTACTACAATTAGTCTTAGCCCGAAAATGTGTTTCGTTTAAGTTAAGCCTATTCAATTCTACAAATATGTCACTAAACCTAGAGATTGATTATAAAGATATTTTAAGTTAACTAAATAGGAAAATTCAAGCTATGTGAAAAGTGTCCCTCCCACTTGTAATGAAATTAACATATAGAATAGCTATACACCAAGTGAATTTGTGACAAATAGGAGCATGCATATTCTTTACCCTTTTTCAAGTGCATAAAGAACCTAAATTAACATAGAAGATTGCTTTCGTCCGTCACCTAAGAAACGTTCTAGTTAACCTCATTAAAATTACATCTCTATTTATTTGCACTAACCTACGTACTCATCATCTTTCACCCTATAGATCAGTGTGATTTATACTAGTTGTTAAATTTCATAACACTTCCGGATCATTATGGATTCACAATAGATTTAACAATTCAATTGGCTAAATTGAAATGTAAATAAAGCATGAAATAAAAATCAACACACTGAAATAAAGAACCTAAGTTAACATAGAAGATTGCTTTTGTCCGTCACCTAAGAAAAGTTCTAGTTAACCTCATTAAAATTACATCTCTATTTATTTGCACTAACCTACGTACTCATCATCTTTCACCCTATAGATCAGTGTGATTTATACTAGTTGTTAAATTTCATAACACTTCCGGATCATTATGGATTCACAATAGATTTAACAATTCAATTGGCTAAATTGAAATGTAAATAAAGCATGAAATAAAAATCAACACACTGAATCATTCTAGTTGAATCTACATCCTAAGCAGATACTACTTCATAACAAAAAGAAAAAAATAAACTACTCAGAATTCATGAAGAACATACTAGAATTCAATATTTTTATTTAACTAACAAGGTCACAATATAAGAAATCCTTACTACAAAGCAATAAAAAAAACAAAACACTTTTCTTCCCTAAGAATAGAAGAGATAACAACAACAAATGTTGACTCTAATGATCTCATTTACTTCTATAGTAGTTTCTTACGATTCATTCTAATTTCATAAAGAAAAAATCTCACTATTCCTCTCCTTCCTTGCACTCACTTTTTGTTCAACACTTTTCTGGCGTTCTCCTATCTTCACACACTTTTTTCTGAGTTTTAATCCCAAGGCCAATTCGTGTGTAACTATTCAAAAACTGCCATATATCATTCTAGCGCCACCTTCTCGGATGTCCTGCATTTTGAACTGGCGCCTGGGCGCCAGTTCGTGCAATCTACACGTCATCTTCTTTGTATTCTTCGTAGGGTCTGGCGCCTAGGCGCCAAAATGTGGCGTCTAAGCGCCTGTTCTATACTTTACAAATAAATCTCACTCGCCTCAATTTTTGCTTTGTTTTCGCCCCAATGCATCCCAGTTACTTTACCTGTTACACCTGTAATTAAAAAATGAAATACCCTACATTAAAGTGCAATATCATTAAAAAATGAGTAGTAAATATGAAATTAGCATATTTAGGACATATCAAAATCCCCCAAACTTCAATGTTGTCCTCAAGTAACATTTCTATTTTATAAACCAAATGTTTTAACTCATGGTGGTAAGTTTCATTAAAGATTCCTATATTTTTGCCCAAACAATGTAATAGTGCAACTTTAGAAAAATTTTCAATAATTCAGGCTAGAACTAAAGTAAAAGAACATCTAGTAATCAAGTTAAGAATTTTGATTTTCTATCCGTTTCAAAATTAATTGTAATTTGCCAAAACTTTGGAATCCTAGAAAAAAAAAATTTTTTATGAGAATTCTATTATTAAAAATTTGACTAATACATTTAAGAATTAATAATAAGCTAAGAAATGTAACTAAGGGTCCGTTTGGGGCAGCTGCAGCTTATTGAATAATCTGTTGATAAACTGTTTAAAAATAATCTGCTGATAAGCTAGATGCGGTGACTATTAGAAATTTTTATTTTTTGGAAAAGCCAGACCGCTGTCAGGAAGCTACCAACGCACCTAGATAGGTGCGGTGTGCAAACGCCACTTTCAGCGTTTTCAAAACGCATAAGCTGCCAAAACGCAGTTTACCCAAACAGTCCAGATGCGTTTTCAAAATATCACAGCACCAAATAAGCTGCCCCAAACAGACCCTAAATTTCTTTCTTCAAGATGATTCAAATGAAGTCAAATATAAATTATGAATTTTCTCAAGTTTCTCCCCACATTCAATAAATACACATTTTTTTCTTTCAGGATCGTTTTAATCCTTGCTATTCTTTTATATGTGAGAATTACTACATCTAGATGTATTTAATTATTTTGAACTTCACTATCCTCTTCCTAAAATTAAAAACATCTCACATTTCTTTATTTGATAATGTATATTAGTATAGAAATGATTTTTCATAGAGTCTCAATTTTTTTAAAGTATAAATCTAAGATTCCTAGTGTTTCAAAAATACAATTCTTCCTCTTATAAATAGTAAAATTATTTCCCTATTCCCTTATACTAAATATCTTAACTCGAAGACCGCCCTTATCACCAAAAAATTTATAAAAATTTACTATAACATTCATAGAATCAAAAAGACAGTTCTCTAACGATAACACCGCAAACCATAGGATATTTCAAAATTTATGTAAATTTACGATAACACCGCAAACCACAGTCTATTGAGAACAAATAAAAATTAGTTTTTAAAAGTTCTTCCCTCCCTCGAACTTGAATTTTCAAGCATTTAAAACATTTAGTACAGAATAAGTATGACAGGAGAAAATTTAACTGTGTTATTATATATCACAGGGTCCTGAACATGTATACTTTTCCTGTTTAAACAGTAAACACAGGTGTGACACTGTAAGTTAATCTCAACTCTCAACATGTTTAACATGAAAATTGCGAAGTAAAGTACTATTCTAACACACAGCCAGTACCATATATGAACAAGAGCATAAAAGAAACAATAGTTTAGTAAAAACAAAAAGTATAGAATCCACCAAGCAGTAGTAAAAAATAATATTATGTCCGCTACAACCAAAAACCTAAAAGTATAATAACATAGTCATCAGAAGAAGGAAAAATAAGTAACACCCAAACTTATAATGAACTACTCATCCTCATCATCATCATCATCATTATCATCATCATCCTCCTCCTCATCCATCGACGACCGATGCACATATGACAGAGTAGGAGGATACTCAAGAAACTCTACGGTTTTATCTCCTTTAAAGATAATTCACAATAGAAGTATGAAAACTGGTCTCGTAATCACTTTTCCTTTTGAAATACGAGTCAAAGTGTTACAAATGGTCAGCAATGTCATACATATGACTCTGTACAAAGAAAATATCATCTTGTAACTCCTGAAAACGATCACCACTGGAATCCAAAGTAGCAGAAGGTGGAGCTGCAACACGAGTAGATGGCCTGGAAGATGAAGGATCAGCCGAAGAGCTAGCTCCAAACCCAAATCCAGCCATGCTTCCCATACAAATGCACATTAGCCTTGTTGATAGACTTCAAAGGATGCAACAACTCTTCCCAAGACTCCAAACGAACTCCGGATTGTTGACATAAAGTGAAGATAAGAGAGGAATATCCAAGCCCCACATTATTAACTCTCTTAGCTATACTGATGATCGTCTTACGAATTAAAGCTCCAATATTAATTGGTTTCATCTTTAGAATAAAAAAATTTAAAGTGGTCGTCTTTTGTCACCTCGCTCAAATTAGTAGAAGGCAAAATTCTAGCATAAATTAAATAATGTCACGCTTTTGATGGAGCATTCAACATAGAGGAGAAGAAGATTACCTTATGGTCGCCTCTGATTTTCCAAGCCCCCCTCCCGTCAGTCAAAAACATCGTAATTTCATCCAGCTGGGCTTCAGTAGGCCCGAATTCAAAAAAAAAATAGCACTCCGGCACATCACCCAATGAGTACAGTGCATTGA